GGTTTAGGATAATTTGGGTTTAAGGTGTTCCCGGTTTAAGACAATCTGGGTTTAGGGAAGTTCCAGGTTGAAGGTTATTCCTGCTGGGAATAGGGCATTCCTGCTGCCTGAGTTCCAGTTGAGTTCTCATGGAATTCAGAAAGTATTTGGGACGTGAGTTGTGCGGGCAGAACTTTGTTTTCCCCAGAACGTGTGTAGAGGCCGGTGTGAGTTCGGGAATAAAGAATTGCTGTTTGAATCTACAAGGTGTGAGTGGCTCGTGATTCTGTGCCCAGCAAAGACACTGGCACCCCTGCAGTAGGGACTGATGAAAATTAGGAGAGGGTTTGGTCACAGAGCCCAGTGGTCACACAACCCAGCTCAGGTCTCAAGAGGGAGCTTTCTGGGAGTGCTACCTTTCCAAGCTGAACTGTGAGGATGAGTTATGGTTGGCCCTGTTAAGGGAAGGAAGGCATTACAGGCAGAGGGAATAGGTCAATTTGCAAAAAATTACTGTCTTGAATACCAAAATATTTCAATACACCAAGCAGGTAACAGGAATACAATATGCTGCTAATGAGGCAATGATGAGACCCTGATTACACTCTGCTCCCTAGCTATAATCAAGGGGGCTGAGTGGATCTATCCACAGTTCAGACAACTCACATCAATCTATTCTATACTACCAAAACAACAGCACTAGGCATGCACTCTATTAGCATTCCATATTATTAATTCTGTACTAGGGATAATTAGCACCATAACACTTGCAACTTATTGAGCACCTACTATGTTACATGCCAAGCAAAACACCTTTCATAAGATAGTTATAATCCCTCTACCTGCCTGCTCAGTCCTTTCACTCATCTTAGAGCCACATGTGTACCCTATGCCTAAAGTTATGGCAAAACTTCAGTCTGAGAGATACTACTAATGTATTTTAAGAAAGACATAAAAGGCACATTATATACATGTACTGAAATGTCACATTCCATAAATATGTACAATTATATGTCAAATGGACAAAAATGCATTAAAAGAAATTCCTCTGAGGTAGGCCTGGAGGTGCATGACTATAATCCAGGGACTCAGGAGGCTGAGGCAGGATCCCAAGTTTAAGGTCAGCCTAGGTAACTAAATTAGACTTTGTCTCAAGATAAAAATAAAAAGGTCTAGGATGCA